TATTTTCTGGAATCTTTTCTTATGCTATACGGAATTTTAAAAATATTTGCTGTGTTTTTGCACAAGGATGAGGGCCACAAATGGGTCGCTCTGAATACTGATAACTTTTCTCTTGTTCTCAACTAAAACCCCATCCCACAAAGTATTAGCAATCGGTTTTGATGTCAAAGCCAAATATGGACAGTTGTAATGATGAATATTTGCTATAGGATACTAGCAGAAAAACTGCACGGAAATACAGACCCAAACCATCTCAAACCTTTTTCTTCCCACTGAATAGCACCCATTATTTTTGACTTGTGATATATATAGTTCTTAGAGGGTCACTGGTTGTAGAATGCAAAGAAATCTGAGTCAACCTTTGGGGAACCTTAGAAAAAGTAAATCATTATTCCAATTTCCCATCTTTTGGGAAAGGAGGAAGGAAATAGGAAAGGGAAGGGAAGGAAAGAAAAGAGAAAGAAGGGAAGGGAGGGGAAGGAAGGAAGAAAGAGAGAAAGGGAAGAAAAGACAAGACCTGTAGTTTACTTTTACCATTTTGTACAAGAGGTTATTTGAGAGCTGTTGATTTTTCTTTTCTCTTCTCCTCCCAAAATGATTCCAGTAACATAATACTCAGCACAAATGGATGGACATACATGATTGACTCTAGCTCAGGCTATGTTTAGTTTCTTTTAAAGTCAAATTTTTAAGATGCTATCTTCAAACGTGCATAATAAATCATGACCAATTTGAATTAGCTGAAGAGGCAAAAAATGAATTAGATGAAGAGAATGTATACAGTTCTTTTATTTAAAAAAATCAAATTTTTAACAATAAAAAATAAATGAAGAACATATGCTTCTGAGCCAGACTGTCTAAGTTCAAACCCTTGTGCTCCACCTGGCGGCTCTGGCTTTGGGCAAGTTCCCAAATCTCTCCATCCCTCCATTTCTTCTCAAGATGGGGATAAAAATGGTGTTCCCCTATTAGGTTTCTATGAGAATTGAATGAATTCATACCTGTAAATGTTTTAAAAGTGATTCAATAATCATTAGCTGTAATTGTTATTCATTCATTCATTGTTTTCTTTTAATAAATATTTGAGTGTTTTTCTCATGCCAAGTGTAAGTGCAAGAATTTAGCAATGCACAAACCTGATTAAAGATTTAACTTTACTATCATCAAGTCATCATGAGATGTCTCTTAAACCGTGATGGATATTTATCAGCCTTCTCATCCTCAGTGGTTTAGTATATATAGAACCTTGCACAAAACAGCTGCCTAATAAATGTTGGTGGAATCAAGTATGAATCCGTGACTCATTGCAGCACAGGATAATAAGCACTTAATTTAGGATTGGGAGTTGCAATGTCAAGTCCCAGTTTCTACCCTAGAGCACTATGTGACTGAAAAATTGTAATCTGAAACCTAAGAAAGCTATACCAAGAAACCACTAAGATTTCTTTTGATAGTGATTCTACCAGGTAACTGACATGATGTACTATTTGTTGACTGGTTATAGTTCTGTTTTTCTTAAATGTAATGAACTTTTCTTTTTAGAATAGTCTTAGATTTACAGAAAAGATGCAAAAATATTACAGAGGGCACCTGTGCACCCTGCATCCAGTTTTCCCTTACAGTTAACATCGCACAGTGTCATAGTGCATTTGTCAGAACTAATGAACCAATAGTGATACATTATTATTAACTAAAGTCCATGTTTCATTCACATCTCCTAAGTTTTCACCTAATGCTCCCTGCCTTTATCTTTGCTCCAGAATCCTAACCTGGCTACCACATTACATAAAGTCATCACATCATGTCTCTTTAGACTCATCTAGATTTGACAGTTTCTCAGATGTCCCTTGTTTTGATGACCTTAACAGTTTTGGGGACTATCAGTCAGGAATTTCATAAAATGTCTTTAAATTTAGGTTTGTTGAATGTTTTCCCCATGGTTGGACAGGAGTTGTGAGTTTGGGGGAGGAAGTATAGAAGTAATTCATCTCACATCTTTTAAGAGGTATATGTTATTAACATAAACACCCACTGAAGATTCTGTTTTTCTGGATGGATAAAGAATTATGTATAGTTGGTAATTTAATGTACCATATTAAGAAAAATTTCTTGACTAGTTGTAATTTTCTAGGCAATGTCTAACATAGTTGATTCTCTTTAAATACAGTATAATCTTAAAATATACTTACCTTACTTTTTCCATGAAAAAGTTCCCTCACCACTGATAAATGAAAAGGAACTGAAAAATCCATGTCCTGTTATAAATTAGTAGTAATCCTACCTATGGATACAAGATTTATATATTAAATTTAAAGTGAAAAATATAACTGTTTGTATTTCTTTCAAATTAACTGCAAAATTGAGAAAATAACAGATTTGTGCTCAGCTATGAGGTCAAAAAGCAGAAAGACCAGAAGTTAGGCTTTTTGATACTAATTCCCCTAAAACTGTCTCATGCAGGGGACTTGCCTTGAGAAATGTTAATACTTCACTAAGCCCTAGGCATAGAGAATCTCGCATTTCTAATCTTGTGGCATCCTTGGTCTAAATGTACATTATCCTCAGAGGTTAGAGAAAAATACTGATGTAGCTGTTACAGGGATTAGAAGATCTATGGTTTTGTTTATTCTATACTTTTCTTATGAATTTCACTATAAGCAGGGAAGTTGGTTTAGGATTACTATGATCTATGCTACACACAATTTTCAGATCAAGACATAAAATAAATATAGTCAATCCAGAGGAGAAGTTTTAGAAGTTGGGTATTACTAGGCATATCCTTCCTTGGATTTAAATGAAATAAATACCTAGAGTATCACACTGGCTCCAGCATGTAACCACGCTAAGTTAAAATATAAATCTATATTTACGGTTGCCACTCCCCATGGAGCTGATTGTAAGACCAGTTTAGTAGTTTTAGCGTACTTCTGTTTGTCACCTTACTTAGTAACCTTATCATGTGTCACAGTCATGGCCAAGAGTATCATCCACAATATTTTTTTTTAATCCCTGATGTTTTCAAGCTATAAAACACTTCTCCCTAAGTCACCATATTCTATTTCTATGACCTTGGAAATGTCCTTAATTTCTGGAATTTCCTCATTTGTACAGTTTGTGTGAAGGTTAAATGAAATTTGAATTATAAAACACTTAGCAAATTAATTGGACACTTGTTATTTATTCATAGACACATAGGCCTATGCTTTCAATCATTTCTGGTTTGTTGGGAGCAATGAATAGGTACTAGACTATCATAGTCATTGCATTTGATGCCCTATCTAGGTTCTCAGAAATATTTTCTAGCTATTACCTGATAATTTTACATCAGCACCTCAAGAGACAAGTAAAAATTAATCGGGACATGGACCTGTCAATGTTGAGAGAATAAATGTATTCTGGTGCAAAACTTGGGATTAGAGTAATTTTATTTATTTTTCTCTAGCCATGAAAAGCTGATGAGCAGACTCTTTTTACATGGTTGGAGGATATTGTTCAAAACACTAAAGGAGGCTTACTTGATGATCTTAGTAGTTAAATAAGTGATTAAACATGTATGAAATGTCAGGCAAAGGAAATAAGATCCAGATGAATTGTTTTATACAACAGTCCTCAACAAGAGCCCATTTTTCTTCTTATTGACTAGTGTTTCTGATGCCATATTTGGGAAAGAAGCTATAACCAATCTCACCTAAACTCCCACCTTTATATCTGGATCAAAGGAGATATCCAAGTTAAAGGGGATGCTATAACTGCAATCAACTCTTGATAATGTGATCTAATAAGAATAAGCATTTATGAGGACAACATTTCATTGCAGGCAGACCACTGTCCCTTGTAACCACTGTCTAATTCATTTATTATGAACTTTTCACTGTGGCATTAATGACCATGGCAGCATCTGGAATGAAAAACACTTCCAAGAGCAGGTGTAGCTAGAGAGACAGCCTGGGAATATTTTGAATAGGAGGTTAATAACCAGCCAGCTGGGAGACACAAAGTAAATAGTAGAAAGGTAGGAAGGTTAGGAGCATTAGAGATCCTTTGCAATTTGTTATTGGATATCGCAAACATTGCTGATGGTAATTGGTAATTGTCATCTTCAGAATGGGAGCTGTGTATGCCCAAGTGAAGTCAGGATAAAGGACTTTTGCTTTAGAGCTTGACCTCTCCAGATTTAGAATCAGACTTTGGAGCCAGAAGGATTGTAGTGTTCCAGTACATCAACACTTCCGTGGTCATCAGACTCTTAGAATGATGATGTGACATTAACATGGGGCGACCAGTCTGTGAATTTCTTTTAGAGTGGCCATTGATGTTTGAAAACTACATAACAAACTTTCTGAACACAGCCTGGTACAGAGCATGCATTTAATAAATATTCCAGACCAGAGTTTTTTTTACCCAGCATTGAATATACAACTCTTTGTAAATAGGACAATGATTTTCTAAATCGTTGATCTGAACAAACCCTTATGTTATCAGGTTCCATTTTTTTTTTCCTTTCTTTGCCCAAGCCTATAGAAAATGATCAGTACTTATATTTTAATTAAAGAAATAAATGTAGAAGGAAAATAGAAATACGAGTAATAAAGAAAAATAAAAATTTCTTAAAAGTGTTTTTCCTCTATTTTTTAAAAAGCCATCTGTGTAGAAATAGAGGCATACAATGTACAAGGCATTGTAAAGACTATTTTACTAAGTCCATATGTTAACAAGAGAAATCTGTGAGTATGTTTATTTGCCCCACAGGAAAAAAAAATTGTAAGTGTATTTGGGTGTATTTTTCAGAATCTTCTGCATGTTTTTTTTATCAATATAGGCAACTACACGTGGCCATCTATGCAAATTTCTTCATGAGATGATTGACTCATAGTCGAGAGGTAGCAATTGCGGGCTGCTCTTATCATTATTAGCAGAATGTAATATTAGTGATACATTTCCAAATAGGGAAAGATAATAGCGCGGTTTTCCCCTTCTTTCCTGTGTTATTTTGAATGCAGACAGTACCGCAGGGACACCAGCAGTATCAACGACAACTGTGGAAATTCGCAAAAGCAGTGTTATGACAACTGAGATCACCTCCAAAGTGGAAAAAAGCCCCACGACAGCCAGTGGCAATAGCTCATGTCCTTCCACAGAGACTGAGGAAGAAAAGGCAAAACGGCTTCTTTACTGCTCGCTCTGCAAGGTTGCCGTCAACTCTGCCTCGCAGCTGGAGGCGCACAACAGTGGTGAGATGCAGTGATTTCTCTTCTGTCTCAACAGCTCTGCAATTATCCTCCTCTGAATGGATTAGATCGTTTGCAGCAGGGGACAAAGGGTGGTGGAAAACTGGCAATTATTACATGGAAGTCATCAACCATTAAAAATTAAAAATGACACGCAAAGTGTCATTTGCATGGGCACAAGAGAGGACTCGAGGGGCTCCTTAATGTGCTTGTGTTTACAGATGTATGTGTTTGTGTGTGTGTGTGTGTGTGCGCACGTGTGTTATTAAACGTTAGGAGATAAAATACAATGTAATTCTAAAGTATAAGCTTTGCATTTATTTGATTTTAAAACTGCTATGTACTCCCACACATTGGCTTCTAAATGACATTTTCTAAAGTTTTGTCAATAATATAGCTGCAAAATTATTTCCAAAACTCTATGTGCTTTTAGCTAAAACCTCTCCATAATGGTTTTTATGGCAAATGACGCTGTTTGGCATAAATCTATATCACCCGGACAATTAAATGTAAAATGTTTATTATGGGCAACCACTGAGGTGTGTTCTCTACATGTAATATTTTATTTACTCTTTGTGACAACCTAAAGATACTATTCTTGCTATTTGATTGAGGCTCAGGCCAGGCACATGACCAACTAAGTGGCTGAGCCATGATTTCAACTTAGGTCTTTCTAACTTAAACACTAAACTTGAATATATCATAATAGAACATACTAATAAGCCAGGATGAAATGCTTCCCAATATACTTCAATTCTATCCATCTATTGTATATCTACATCTATAGAAAGATATTATATAGGTATTTTATATCTATACCTATACCTATCTATCTGGATAAGTCGATGCAAAAAGAGAGCCCAGATCTATATATTTATATCTATATATCTAAATTATATATTTCTATCTATAATTAAATTATGTATAGATATATAGATACAGATAACTGATATATATCCTGCCCGAGATTTTAGACAGCCCTTTGGCCCTAGATTAGATTTCCTCTAAAAGGCTGGGTTCATTGCCAGAACCATGTCAGCAATCACAATAGGAACAGAATCATTTGTAAATCATACCCTGGGTTAATATTGCAGCTTTATGTTGTCTGTCACTGGCCAATCACTGTGCTGCACAGTAATGCTCAAGTATTTACTTCAGTATTCTACGGGAGTAATTGCAGATGGAGAGCAATTCCTTCAACACATCTCTTCGCCCCTGCATGCAACATTAGCTGTCGTCCGGGAGTTCATGAGTTCAGAGGCTGAGAAACACAGAAAAAGATCTGGCCCCAAGTCAGAATCTATACCGTGCAGACGTGCCTCATGTTTTACTCATGCAATTACATTATTCAGGGATGCCAGATAATTGGAGAGCAAAAACATCATTGAAAGTCCATTTATTTCTCAAGAATTCTTGATCATTCTGCATAGTGACAGAGAAACACATTCATTTTGAGGGGGGCCTCCGCTTTGACAGATAAACAAACCATACCTTTGAGGCTGGAGTTAATTTATCAAGAATTTGGATGTCCTTCCTGAATTCTTATCAGAAACATCTGATTAAGAAGCAAAGAATTCTTTGTTATTTCATTATGTCATATCAGGTCAACATTTTTCATACTCCAATTCTATAATCCTTATCTCTGCTTTGTGTATGGGAAATACCCATAAAGCTTTAAAAGCACATTCACCCATATCACTTTCAGATATATATTATTCCCTATACCCAGGGATTCTGATTTATTATATATCCAGGCCTGGAAGTGACAGTGTTTGGGAAAAGAAAAGAAGCAAAAACAAAAAACCTCACAATGTTGTGCAGGCAGAGCTGAGAACTACTGGAACCATCTTATCTGAGAGTTTAAGGTGGTAAATGCGTGTAACCTTATAGGAATCCCTTTATAGGGCTGTCCCCTCCAAACCTTCAGTCCGATCAGTGAACTATAACCTCCCCCCTTCTGCCTAAGCTTGGTTTCTTTATCCCTGCATTTCCCTTCCTACATCAGAGATTTTTTTCCAGGGTCCAGGCCCGGTGCTTATTTTCGGCCTCCCACGAGACTTGCACTAGCCAGTTGGGCCAGAACTGGAGGTGGCCAAGGAAGAAGAGAAGATACACATGTAGATTCTCTTTAATCTCCTCTGTGCACCATTTTTGATCTGCAAATCAGCTCTCTTTTGTAACTGAAGCAGCGGAGGGCAGTTCATTGTGTCTGGGATGTCCTCTACCTGTGGATGGTGAATGCCGTCATTTCCACAGTCAGACAACTGCCCCTCGTGCCCTGGTTCCTGCATCTTTGCCTTCAGATCCCATGTGGGGAAACCCAGGGGAGGGGGATGTAAAGGAGAGGGGATCTCTGTAGGCTCACTCGCCTGCCACAAAAAGAGTAGCTGTTGTAGGAATCATCCAAAGATTAGTGTGGCGTGTTTTAGTTTGGGTTCCATGAGAAGCAGACTCTGAGACCAGGATTTGAGAGCAAATGGCTTTTAGGCAAGGCCAAGGGCATGGGGAAGGAAGTGGGAAGGGGGAACAGGGAAGGGAAGCGGCCAGCGACCTGTGCATCACTAGGCAATTACCAACGTGGGCAACTGGACTTGCCGAACAAAGCCGTGACACCACAGGCCTCCCACTGCATTTCACTGTTTTAAACATAAAAATGTCCAGTGGTCACATAGAATGACAGAATGGAGTTAGCTCAAATTCTGTCACTTCATCTTTATAATCAAGGTGTTATCATCTCATTGTTCACTTATGATCTATTGTTTACATTAAAAATATAGAGTACCACCAGGGCCAAAGACATGAACTGCAGCCCTTGTGAGCTTGAATGATTTCAAACAGTTAGGGAATCACTAATGAAACAGGAGACTGTAGCCAAATTCCTGTGTGTCTGTGGCCCACGATATAATGGAGAGGTCTACCCATTTATTTCCATGTAACATATGATGTTTAGTATAGGGTAAGTTAGACAATGGGGTAAATTAATATATGCTAAAATCTCAACAGGAAAAACACTGCTTGTTTAGGATATAGACAAATTGTGTTCTAGGACACAGTCCTTTATCATGGACGTCGGTTAGAGTTGCCAGTTCATGGTGAAGGTGGAAAGTAGACTGTCTGTTTTAGTCCATTTAATTATTTTCTAGTTCTCTTTCATGGATCCCTGTATTACCTGTACCCACAGCAGACCACAGTCACTGCCTGTGGGCTCTACTGCCCCCACATTCACCCCCCCCACCTCCCCTGTATCATTAACAGTTCTCTGCTTGCTTTCAGAGCGAGATATTAGGAAACCACTGTGAAGATTGTGCTTTTTTCAGGGAACTCGGTTTGAAGACCAATTTTGTTCAGAAACAACCAGACTGTAGGGTGGGGAGATGTGTCCTTTGCATCTAAATTGTAATTCTAAGTATTTCTCTCCCTTTTTTTCCCCTTCCATATGTATGGAATAAGGTCTTTAGCTCTCAATGTAGAGTTATACATTTATGGTTTTTCTTTTTAATCGTAAACCAATTTTGAGATTATAGCTCCCATTGCACACAACCTCTTGTATGTCACAATGGAATGAGCTAGAACCGATCAGACCATTTTTACCTCAGATCCAGAAATAACAATTCGGTGTGAACCTGGGAAAGTCGACTGTTCTCTTTGGACCTCTCTCCCTCTCTCTTTAATGGTGCTAAGAAGCCCTATGGCACCTTGTAAGGATGAATCATTATGGCACGATTATTAGTGTGACCACAGTTGCTGCTAGCATTATTTGGGGATCGGTTGTGTTATTTCATTTGCTTTCTCTTTTATTTTTCACTGAATTTGCAGTTAATGGATTTATATTCCATAACATTGGAATGCAGGATTTAAATATGAGCATTCCTGCTTTGCGTTTTTTTTTAAGAATTTGAGAGAAGTAGATATCATAGCTTACTAGCATGATTCACAAAACAGTCTAAGAATGTTTAAAACAACTTAAGAGGACATACTCTTTTCAAAAGATCTGGAAGTCTCCTTTTAGTTGTATGTTATAGACACAGATAATACAAAAAAAAAATTGTCTTTTTCTTGAAAGAAATCTCCCCAAAACATTCTACTAAGTAATGCTTTGCTTAGCTGATTTTGATGGTTTTCTCTACGTAATTAAAAACCTTTAAAATGTTTTATAGTTAGTGCTTATTACGAATTTGGGTAAGTTTTTCTGGCAATAACTTGAAGTGGTAACATTTGATAATTTTCATTAGGCTCGTTTGAGTTTTCTATTCCTAGACAGGGCTTATTCTATCCCTCACTAAGTTTTAATATACAGAAAAGGCACTTATCAAAGGATAGACTTTACTGACTTTTAGAGATTTCTAAATTTTTGCTTAAACAAAACCGACACTGTTAAGAAGGAGAAGAGAACTAAAATTTACTGAGAGCTCATGGAAGTGCCAAAAGTAATCCTTAGAACAATAAATACATTTCATGTAACACTTCAGTAGAGCAAATAATTTCCTCTTCCACAGCTGAGGACACTGAAGCACAAAGAAATGTAAACCACACAGCTAATGGAGGCAAACCCCGCTCCTACCATGCCAGAGTCGGAGTCCACAATGCTCTTGACAAATACGTGTTCATTGCTCTTTATTCATACCCAATACTTGAGCTGTATCTCCTGTGGGTCAGGCACTAAGAATACAGGATGAGCAAACCCCTGGAGTTGCCTTCAAGAAGCCCATGTCTAATTCGTGCTTCTGTGTTCAGGAAGAGAATTAGGTAAAGACTTGTTTCATCAAGACATCCGTTTCACGTTTCAAGTGAGAAATTCATTTAAGCCAGTCAGCTGTGGTCAGTGTTCATGGCCTTATTATTATTAAGGTCCAAAGATTATCTGCCACTCCTATTCAGCTTCTTCCAGGGTAACGGTAAGCCTCCCAATTACAGAAGATATTGCGTGGGTCAGGACTCCCTCTAGACAGTCAGAATAAGAGCCGCTCTCCTACTGACTGCTTCCTAAGCATTGATAAGCCAAACCAGCCCAGGAATGCTTCTCACTTTGACTGAAGAAGCTGTATGGAAAAGAAGTATTTTGATAAAATCACCTGTTTGGATAAAAAAGATTGGACAACCATCTAGACACACACACACACACACACACACACACACACACACACAGTGAGACAAAGGAAAAATATATATATATAAAATATATATATACATTTTACTCTGCAAATGGTGTAAGTCAGTGTATGGTGAAACAATGCTCTAGGTTTTGTATATATATTTGTATATATATACACATATATATATGTGTATATATATATTTGTGTACATATATATATTTGTATATATATGTATATATATATTGGTGTGTATATATATATATTTATATATATATATGTATATATATATATATATTTGTATATAGATCTTGCTCCCTAGAGCATTGTTTTGCCATACATTGACTTACACCATCTGCAGAGCAAAATGTATTTGTGTCTATTTTGCAAAGGGCGGGTGGAGGGGGCTTGCAAACTTAAAGGGAAAAGCAGAGAGGCCTCCCCACCAGCTCCACATTTCAAGTTCTCCAGTCTACTTACAATGTGTCAACCTTTTTCTCTTTCCTTCATATGTTGGGATATGAACATTTTCATAGATGTGCATAAGAATACAACCTTCAACGTGGGGAATCTATGTTGTAAGAATATACCTTTTTTAATATAGGATTTGGTAAAGTTGCAATCATTCTAAAAGAGAGAAACGCGACTGTGAACCTGTTTCTTGTATTCATCACCTCTTATTTAAGGCGATGGTCATTGGCACTGACCTAGTGTCCCCCTCAATGTGTTTTCCTCATTGATAGTAATGGTTCTGGAAGGCTGGTCCAGGAATCCAGAAAATTGAGAATCTTATTTTTTATGCCTCTAGAACTGATAACAATCTAATAAACACAAGTAGGAAAGAGAAACCACTGAAAAAAAAAGGGTTTAATGGCAGAAAGGACATAAATGATGATGAGAGAAAATTTCATAGCAAAACCATATGGCTAAGTGATAAAAATAAAGAATAGTTATCAACACGAAGAAAAAGAAAATTGTGAACAAAATTTTGAGAGAAGCTCCCATTCATAAACTACCAGGCTAAAAAAAATCAAAAACAAAAAAACAAAAAACCAAACAAGTGTTAATAATGGGAGTTACACTCGGAATGAGTGAGAGTCCAGAGATGTTTATCGGTTTATTAAAAAGAAGCTTTTGTGTATAGTGTAACTGCTTAGCCTTTCACCGCTTATCTTCTTGGTCATTTGTTTTTACATTTGAAATTGAGTTATGACCAATCAGTTTGGGCTTTACTATCCTAATGGAGCTGGTTTTTTTTTTTTGTTTTTTTTTTCAGCCATCAAGATCTTTATACTCTTCCTCTTCCTTTTTGAACCTAAAACACATAGCCAAGAAAGCTTGTTTGTATTCTGTTTAGAAATTGGGTCTTTAATTAGTGCCACTTCTGTAAACACACCATGTTTAAGCTGATTACATTTGTTACACATCACCTCCAACTATACCTTGAGCAACTAAATCACTCTTCCTCATCTGCTATCATTTATGTCTTATTAGCATCGGAGGAAGTGCAACAAAGTCACACCCATTTAATTTCATCTAGGGACTCTGGAGTGTAGGTGTTCTGTTAATGGTGCTGGTTTGATATGTGGGACATTGTAAAAACATGAGCAATTAATTATGTAAGGTGGTCAGAGCTCACTGTCTTCTAAGTTAAGCATATCTCAGTCATAATCCCTGCAAGAACTGCTCTAAAACTAGGCATCACATTTTGTTACTGTATCATTTCCTAAAGGCACATACTAGCTAAGATTAATTTTTCTTTCTTTTTTCCTGAATCTTCCTGGCAGGTACTAAGCACAAAACCATGCTAGAAGCTCGGAATGGAAGCGGGACTATCAAAGCCTTTCCTAGGGCAGGCGTGAAAGGCAAAGGACCAGTTAATAAGGGAAACACAGGTCTGCAAAACAAAACGTTTCACTGTGAAATCTGTGATGTGCACGTCAACTCGGAAACACAACTTAAACAGGTAGACAGCGCATATTCTAGAAATGAAAACAGATAGGGGACATCCTGATAAGCAAATGTGTGTGCTTCCTTTGTTCCCTTTCTTTCCTGTTTTCCTCTCCCTCCCATCCATCCATCCATCCATCCACTTATCTTCTACTCACTGCCTTTATTTATTTATGCCTAGTTTAGTTGCCAAGGAAATAGTAAAATGTAATATTTTCTAAGTCCTTTCAGAAAATGTCTGAAGGGAGTTTGTACTATTCTTTTTTCTGAAGAGTGGGAGGAAAAGGAGTATTAGATCTTTTCTCTGCCAGGTTTCCCACTCAAAAGTGTTGATTTTCTTGAAAGGTCGAATTGCAATGTTCCATTTTTACTTGTTTAGATATTTACATGTTACAACTAATTTTATACTGTTCTATTCTTTAATTTTATGTACTTTATTACATAGTGTTGTACTGTATTGCTAAATCCTGCAGCCACCTGCTAAAGGGATGACTAATCCTATTGCATTCACTTTTACTGTGCATAGCCCTCCAAAGTGATCAGTTAGACATTGCCAACTAAAGGCCCAGCCCTCATATTGTGTTGTATTTTATATGCATGTGTGCAATATTGTGCTCATTTTATGCACCTTCATTATTTATCTTTAGAATTTAAGGGGCTGACATTTGGCTGTACAAATGTGAGGGTAAATACAGTATGGAAATAAATTCATGCCTGCCTGGGCATCTTTGTTTATTTGCACATAAAATTCCTTTAGACATTCCTTTCCTTTGTACACTTTTAAAAAAGGAGATCTGCGCAGCGATAAAGAGAAAGGCTGGGAAAACGAAGAGCCTTCTATTTGTTAAAAATATACTAAAAGAGATAACATAAAAATATATATCCTCAAGCCATCAGAACCCAAGGACAAAAGTGCATTGCTCTTTTGTTTTTGTCTCTGCAACTTGTATGAAATAACTAATCCTCTTCCTCAGGTTAAAACAGTATTTTTGAGGGGGGGGTTGGGGATTTTTTTTTAAAACACTGTCATTTTTAATTGTTTTTAATAGCACATTAGCAGTAGAAGGCACAAAGACAGAGCTGCTGGGAAGCCCCCGAAACCTAAATACAGTCCTTACAACAAACTACAGAAGGCAGCACATCCTCTGGGGGTAAGTGTCATCATTGATTCCCAATCAACAGTGATCTTGAATGTCCCACTGTCTGATGAACTTGATTTTTTTGTTGTTGTTGTCAATTATTAAGTGAAATAAATGGAAGGTACCTTAGTCATGAGGAACAGTTGATTGGAAAGTCCCAACCCCCACTCCAACAATAGAATTATAGGTTTTGTGAGTTGTGTGGGTGGTTTGCCACGTTTAGCCACAGTCTGGTAGCTGTATCTTTTGGAGTTGGGCTCTGGTTAATGACAGAGCATGTGGAAGGGAGTAAAGCCAAACTTTTGAGTCAAGTAAGTGATATCATGATATCTGGTCTTGCTGTCAGTGGATAATTTTAGGAAAGTTCAGTGAAAAAGAAGTTCTCGCCTCTCTTTTTTAATATCTTCAAGGGACAAAGCACTGGTGTTTTTGATACCCTCAACAGTTTTGGATTTTGAATAGCATGGTCTCAAGGGCATGACTGATTTTATTTAATTATTACACCAAGAATAATATCTGAGGCCTGGGGAAATTCTTCCTGGGAGATGCCTTCTTTCCATTACCCCAAATACACCTTTAGATTAGTGAACATACGAGTATAAATGTCCTGACCTGGATTTTTTTTTTTAGGAATTTAAGGGAAATCTGTGAAACCTGACAATCTCAAGCTAATATTTATGACCACGTGTGTGTGTATGTGGGGGGTTGTTGTTTCTTGTTTTTGTTTTCCTGGTTGAATTGACCATAGCTTTCATCAGGGAGACCCAGGGCTCAATGAAAAGTTAAGAACAACTGATCTATATAGCATGTGCTGAATTGTGCATTTTGAAATCTGTTTTCTTCAAAATAGATCTTATTAATAATCGGTGCTACTGTGTGCTGCTGGCACGCGAAAATATAGTTAAAGGAAAACTGCAATCATCTATTATGAGACCTCAGTAGGAGTTGACCCAATTAATTTAGTAGCATCACCCATTTTTATGCAAATGAAGTCACTCTACTCTTTTGTACAGAAGCAATTTTAGCTGCATTGAAAGGCTGTGAATTCTGCACAGAGCTGATGTTTCAGCACCACTAGTCATAACTTTGAGTGCTATTTCTGACCAGCATAGATGCAGCTTTCAACAATCAAGTGAATGGTTCTTAAATAAACAGGGAAGTCAAATTGTGTTAATGTCACCATCCAAAACCTCCTTCCTAGCTCTCACTGTGTTACTGTTTCCATAAATGGGAACATTCTGTGAGAACAGCCATCTTACTAATGCTACTAGCCAAAGAATGAACTGGTTTTGTAGAGTAGGATTGAGAGAATATTGTTACCATTTGCACAAAAAGGAAGCACAAAATGGCACATTTTGGGGGGAGGTAAGTTTGGGGGGAGGCAAGTTTCACCTTGAAAGTGAAATTTTGTTATTTTTATTTCTCTTCATTAATACCTCACACCTTGCTGGGCTCCCCAGTTTATACACTTGGATAGCTTATTAGTAGCTGTCAGCATTAATAAATCTCTCTTTTAAAATATCAATTCCGTGACAGTTCATGTGTGTGTGTACAGTGGAGCAAAAATTCCATACTTTCTTCCTTAACATGAATACTTTCCTCAGGTGGTATATTTATGAAGAAAAATAAAATAAGGTTGCTGAGTACTTTTCTGGACCAACAGTCTAAGCTGGCCATCTTCAAGTGCTCTTCCAGCTCTTTCAAAGGAAAGATGTTCTACACTTTCCGTTATTCTTATTGACCTTCCCAAGTGTGATTTTTATCTTTGTAGTTGCTTCCTGCTACATTTTAAAAGCTGCCCATCATTCTGGATTCTATGGGTAGATGCCCAAACTCCTGTCCTTCTGTCTTTTTTTTTTTTTTCCTCTCTCTCTCTCTCTCTCTCCCTTGCAGGTAAAATTAGTATTTTCAAAAGAACCTTCAAAGCCATTGGCTCCACGAATTCTACCAAACCCACTGGCAGCAGCAGCAGCTGCTGCTGCAGTGGCGGTGAACTCCCCCTTCAGTCTCCGAACTGCTCCAGCGGCCACACTGTTCCAGACCTCGGCACTCCCGCCAGCACTCCTGCGGCCAGCTCCCGGACCTATTCGGACCGCCCACACTCCTGTGCTGTTTGCTCCTTACTGAGTTCCAAATGGGAGTACTTGTACTGCAATAATTTTTCAAAAAACAAACAAAAAACAACAACAAAAAAAAAAAACAAAAGAGAACTATGCAGTGTTTATTTATAGTTTAAAGTCTATCTGAAGAGCCAGGTCTTTTGATAGTGAATAAAAAATTATTTTAAAAAAAAAAAAAAAAAAAGAGGGAGGCTTAGGGGTGGGAGGGGTGGGGTGGTATTTTCTCCAAATTAAAGCATTCCTCTTGAACACTGATTGTTTTAGAAGTGATCTCCAGCATTGACTTGTAGTGGTATCTAGAATTTCTGAAGCCTTCGTGACTGTGCTTTTGGGCACCTATTTCCCTCTGCATTGTCTTTCCTGCTTTATGAAACAGCTATACATTGTAAGGGCATTAACTGGTTCCAATGTATATATATAATAATTTACTCAGTAGATTAAGATAATATGAAAAAAGAAAAACAAAAAACAAAACAAAAAAGAAAAAAAAACAAAAACAAAAACAAAAGCAACACTGTGAATAGTAGTACCCGTGCTGGTCCTCTTGCTATGACAGCAATTACTGGGTATTTATCCCAACAAAAGTAGATACAGTAGATGTCTTGTAAACAATAGTGCTGTGTCTCACTCTATGCCACTAGGTTATAAAGAATTGCAAAAGGTAGAATGAACAACTATTTCATGCCGGTAAGCAGCCAAACGATACACAAACATCAGAGGGTTCTGCGGAGGTCTTCCTGGTCCATATTCTCTCCCCCCATCCAGCTTGTAGGTGACTTTAAGTTGAAGACAAGAGAGCAGGGCTTAAGCATAGAGGTGGGGGAGATATTAATAAAGGTCATTTCTTACAAAGTACTTTTTCCTCCCCCTGAAGCAGTGTTGCTGGAAAGAGGGAAAGAAAGTTTTGTAATGAAACTGTATCTGAAAACAGGTAAACCCGTGCATTGTGGGTGTTTAGAAAGAAATCAGTTCAACTGTTCTGCTTAGTGGATAAGAAATGATCATAACCTAAGATGATTGTGCAAAGTAAAGATTTTTCATGTTAGTACATATCCAAAAAAAAAAAAAACACAAAAAACAGAGAATATTGCATCCCTGCAATATCCCCTTTATATCATACCAGTAAGATTATCTCTTAGGCAAAGGTTTCTGCTTTGAACTTGATGGTAGATGTTAGCTATTGTGGGCTTTTTCTTGTTTCTTTTTTAGATTTCCTACTGATATGATATGAACAATTAATATATACTTAAACACTAGTAAAACAAGAAAAATGAATCTGAGGTGATTGCAGACCGAGGATATAGTGTTGAAAAAATTCTGGTAAGATGCACTTGACCATGATTTCTCTAGTGGAGTTATGAAATACTGGCAGCCTTTGATAGTCACCAAAAGGCTGAAAGGAGTTGATGTTTTACCTTTAAAACAAGATTTATCAGGGGTATATATAAATATATGTATATTGTATATATGTTAGAAAGATTAAGAGAATAACTTATAAAAAGAAATTCTATATAAAATAATTATATAACCATCCCATGTTACATGTTATCATTAAGTTGGTAACAAATGGCATAAAAATAGCTGTGCCTTTAATTTGTGATAAAGGCTATTTGCTTTTTCCCATAGAAAGCTAACATATACCTATCACTATGATGGGGTTCGATGCAGCCAGTCTGTTGCATTAAGAACAAGGACACTCAAACTTAGAACAATGTTAAAACATGTACAAATCAACCCTACATGATTTAGGTTTAGAGAAAAAAAATATTTTTGAAAAGGTTTTGTAAAGACTATTTAAATCTATAGGGAAGGGCTGGGTATAGCCTTCCTGAAACTGCTCTTATCTAAACTGTAGTAACCTTTTTGAGAGGTACAAAGATTCCAGATGAAACCATTTGAGAGATAGGTATATAGCATTTGTCATTTTATATTTGAGAAACACCCATAGCGTGCTTGGTGCTCAACACTGAACATGGTCTTTGGAGTTCTCCACCACCTAGCTGTAGACATTTGTCATATAAACATATCTTTAAAACAGTTGGCTTTATACATCTTTTGTTAAACAATCAACAAAGTAAGGAAGGAAGGAAGGATAGAAGGAAGGAAGAAAAGGGAAGATGGCAGGTAGATAAGCTAGACAAAAGACAAAAGTTATTTCATTGGTCTTTGGTAAAAAGAATTTCAAACCACACATCTCTGGTTAAACATGTTGGTTAGTATTAAAATTTGTTTTTTGAGAGTATCCGGTGATTAATGTTTACTAACGCCTCTACTCCCTGATCTTAGCAAGTGTTTCCTTTTTTTCCACACACACCATCTACTGGTTCAGCCAGACGGAAAGTCGCTCATGAGTTTGTTGTTTGGGGCTCTGTCTATATCCCGTGTGACCAGCTTCTAAAGAATTTGAACTTTAGTTGCCTTGTTCTGGTTTGTCAAATAGTTTGATCTTTCACTGTAACTTAGCCTGAATCCTTACCCAGCAACCTTTACACCTGATAAAACCTCTTTCTGTTGGAGAACTTAATGTTAATTGATGCAATCTCACTACGACGTGCTTTTGCTGTTCTTCCCCATTTTCACCAAAGTGAATCAGCCAGTCCACTAGAAGTCAGGGCCTTTGGGATGCAAAGAGTCCTGGATCACAAGGTGTTACTAACTTTAATGATTTGCTGGGAACAAACAAATCAGCCATATTTTCTCCATCAGCCATATGAGAAAACTCAGAAATACCTAAATCCCTTCTGCCTCACTTCGCTATGGAACCATTTTTGTTTAAATGGTCTCTTAAATTGGAGTTGTAATCATCAGTTGTCTTTTCCTCACTACCTAATAAAGGATGAAGCCTAACTATGGAACTTACAGTGGCCTTTCTGTGAATTGCTTCCCTCCACTCCACGTTATTTATCAACACCAGATTAACATCCATTACGGTTCAGACTGCTATAAAGCCCTATCCTTTCCCTTAGGGAACTTTTTTCATGAATAAAGATCAATAATTCAGATTGGTCAGCACTGGTGCTCTGAAAATCCCCAAAGGTGGTCTGACTTTATGGTTACATATCCCTTCCCACGCATCACACCCATGGCAAGGAAGTGATAGGGAAAGCATCTCCAATTTCATTTGAAACAGATATAAATGCATTGCAAGAGCCAGATGCCTCTGGAAAAAGCATTGCTGCCCCTCATCCAGATCATCCAGACAAATGGGAAACAGTCGTTGGGGAGGTACTGTATTTCTCTCTTGAGAAAACAGGTGATTACACATGACAAATTGCTCCTATCACTGGTCCTAATCTTTGAAGAGTGGTGGTTCTATTCACATAAGCAAACACAGTTGGCTTTTGGCAATTTATGTCATCCCTGCCGCATCTGTAACGATTGCAATCTTAAGGAACTATTAGGCTTCCCTTCACCTATTGCAATAATTCATGCCATTATCATCAGAGCTATAATTTGGTTTTCTTTGAAAGGTGCTACGTATTTTACTGCCAGAGAACTATTTAACCAAGAGAGTGTTCATACTCACTTGCAAGTTAAAAGACCAGGAAATCATAAAGTGAAAAAATTAATAGACAACAAGGCTTTTTAAAATAGGATTATTCAAATTTATTGTGGATGTTCCCATATAAGTTTCTAAGGCACAAGACCAATACATAGCACACGTGGCATTAAATTTCACCTATGATTAAATTTTAAATACTTTGACCCCATTCCCGTGTAATGGTCAACTTTCCTGAAGAAATCAGATCACAAAGCTAAATGATTCAAGTGGTGTAGAGGCCTCTTCCTTCAAATACGAATTAATATAGAGGACTACCTTTCTATACATTAGCATGGATGACATTACATTAATAACTATTTATATAAGGGAAAGCATCATAAAGTGGTGGGGAAAACAATGAGCTGAAAGAAGTAAAATTTTATTGTTGACTTTATCTCTGACCAGCAGGATAATAATTAGTCAACTAATGCTTTGTCCTCAAATTTTTTGTCAGTAATATGGCTGAGCTGGTTTACTATATCAGCATTAAAAGACCACTTCTCACATTCTGTCAAAAATAAAATTGCTTTCTTGTCATGAACCATGGAGCTACTTAAATATTTGCAAATGTCGGGAGATGTGTTCTGTATTTCCCTCCCTCCTGAGTATACATCACACTGTAGGCCTCTCATCTAATCAGAGTGTAGACTTCAACTATTATCAGAGGAGTTGCTAATTCACACTGGACTTTTCACAAAGTCATAAAGGATGCAATCTTTTCTCAATCTAGAATATCATAATTTTTGAACAAAACAAACTCCAATCTTTTTCTCAATCCAGAATATCATAATTTTTGAACAAAACAAACTCCAAAAGGAAGTTGTCCATGTGAGTATGGAAGGGAGTGACAACTAAATGCCTCATCCTTATTTCTTTTGTTGTGTTTTCTGTCTTCAGCAGAAAGGGTCTCCCCATCACTAATTCTACCCTGGGTTTGCATGTGTTTTAACTAATGGGTATCTTACTAAGACCACTTTGTCCACAGTCAAAGGGTATCAGTGATGCTCTCATCATTGTTACAGCAAGAATTATTTGAGCTGCGTCCTGACAGTGAATGTTTTCCATATGATTTCTGTAGGTTTTCACTAAAAGGGTGGATTTATTTCTAGAGTATCTCTTCTGCTCTTTATATGGCATGCTTTAATAATGACAGAGGCTACCACCAGGAAGTGAAATGGATCACTTATAAGACACATCTTCCTTGTCTACTTATTAGGTCTACTTATTAGTTCTGAGAGTGGTGTCAGGGCTTTCAATGAAAGATGATATGTTGATATATCATCCTCAACTGGCCTACAGGGCTGTTACTTTCAGGAATGGGTTTATAGCTTACCAGAATTATGAAAGTTAATGGAAGGCAAGGTCAGCCCTGGAAAAACCTCCTATGTGCTACTCTCTTTAGAAGTCCAAGCAGGTTACAGAACATCACAGGGTTTGAAGAATTCCTTGGCTTGCCCAGGTGTGAAAGGACCAAGAACTACCTTCAGTCTGATCACCTTTTTCCTGTTTCCAGTGACGGAAAGCCATCTGTCTTAGGTGGTC